ACCCACACCCACACCCACACCCCACCCCACCCCACCCCCACCCCAAAAAAAAACTTTCCACTAGGCACATTGAGGGGTCAGGTATTTTTCCCCGTTGTCGGCTTAGCTTCTTTGTTCATATGTCAGTGGAATGGTCTGATTGTTCAGATTTATTAGCTTCAACATGATTCCTGGGATAGCATTTGTCTAAATGGTATCATAATTTTCAAAATAGCGAACTTTCTTTATTAGATTCTCAATCATTTGTTACTGTATGTCATAGAGAATCTCACACATACCATATATGATTGGCTTTGTACCCACAATTTCTTTATCTTTTCATGGTTATTTGATGACTTATTTGTTTGAATTGCGTTTTTTGCATCTCTTCCAAATGTGATGGATTTGTATTCTAGGAAGTTTCTTTAGATTGTACTGACTATATGGTCTCAAGATCCAACTAACTACGTTCTTTGGAGTTGTTTATTTACCCCTTATAGAAATGATTAAATTTTGGTGCCGCAAAATGTGATGTGTACATGATTAGTTTAACCTTGTACACTTAGATGATGTGTGCCCTTGGTGTATAGGTACACATAAAAGTTATTTATGCAAACTAGACCAATTCTTGTATGATTCGATCAGTAAAACACTGTAAAAGATTTGAAGGGTTTCCTATTCCTACTAATTATATTTTCTAACTAGGAGAGTTACTAGTATTATGATATTTAATTGAAATTGTTAGTACTATGATGTCATCATTTTTGAACATTCATGCGTCAAGAGAGAGTATTGACAGTACCCCCATTTGGACGTCTTCGTGGTTATATCCAATAATATCTTTAAGGCAATTGCAAAAAAATGCTAGTCTTAAGCGGTTTAAATCATTTGGAAAATGTTCTACTTTTTTGGGAAAAGAGAAAGAGTTTTTTTTCCTCGTGTAGTTGCAAGGGTTTTTCGGCGCATTTTGGAAATAACTGGAGTTTCAAATGTTAAGTTTCATGATGAATGGTTACTCTGCTCAATAGCAAGTGTATGGGAGAAATATTTCTGAGGCTGGAAACCATGCATTCACACAGAGGTTTAGTCTACTTTTTCCACTTTAGTAATACTATTTTCATATACTTTCTGAAACATTTTAAGGTAGTTTTCTTGTCATATTTGCCTTTTCCCCGGACAACTTGGTTATTTATACAGTACCTTAAATAAATATTGAATTCATATGATGAGCCCATTAATCTCAGTTGCTAAATGCTATTTCTCATCAGCGCATCCAGCAGCATACCACCACTATCTTAAAACTTGCACCCATGCTCTCTTTTTTTCTTCTTGTTCTTAACAAATGTAAACCTCTTTTTTAATGTTTTGACTTCAATTCTCTTTCATCATTTGTAAATCTTGCACAGAGGAATATGGTGTTTATGCCAATTGATATTTTGTCTTGTAATTTCCTTTGAATTAGGATTGGATCTGACATGTTCAATGTAATTTGAGTCTAAGAACATGCTAAACGGTTGAGACTCTTCAGCTTCCGATGAGGGGAACTATATTGCTAGGCTTTGCGACTCAAAGGATTGCTATGCTAAACTAGCAAATTTGGTGCTGTGCTTCCTCTTGTAACTCAGTTATTTGAGATTTAGATGATGACTTCTCCTAATTTATGAGAAGTTGTTATGCATGTTGTATGTATAATCTATTATACACAACTGTTTATTCATCATCTATCCTTAATGACCAATTGTAGAGTTGAGCTATTGTTCGGCTGATAACAAATGACAGACATCAAATGGAATGATGATTCCTCTCTCCCCTATCCATCACTAAGTATGGAAAGTGGATACCCCTTCATGTATACTATACGATATACAAATTGTGTATAATATACTTTTCCATTGGTTTTTTGGCAGTTTGAGGTTTCCTTTAAATTGCTTGTGGAATTACCATACAGCCTCAGTCTCTTCTGCCTATCCCATACTATTCCTCCAAAATTGATGACCATACACAGTTTTTCCTGGTGTAATTCATCTTTGTTTGCAGATATGGCATAGCAACATGCCCCATAACAAAATTGCAGAAAGGAAAGGCCATCAAGGGTGGATGAAGGAGGAAGGCCCATATTTCATTTTTCCTGGTGGTGGCACTATGTTCCCTGATGGAGCTGTTCAATACATTCAGAAACTCGGGCAGCACATACCCTTAGGTGGAGGTGTTTTGAGGACTGCTCTGGACATGGGTTGTGGAGTATGTATTGTATAACTTCAATAAAGCTTGAATTATTGTTGGTGGTATTCTTCAACTGCATTTTGATTGAGTAATGAAAAAGAACTAGAAAAGGCCATTAGTTTTTTTGTGAATTTGAAAGTTAAAACTTTTTTTTCTCTATGATAGGTTGCCAGCTTTGGTGGATACATGCTTAAAGAAGACATGTTGACCCTTTCATTTGCTCCTAGAGATTCACACAAAGCTCAGATACAGTTTGCACTGGAAAGGGGCATACCGGCATTTGTGGCTATGCTTGGCACTCGGCGGCTCCCATTTCCTGCATATGCATTTGACCTAGTCCACTGCTCTCGGTGTTTGATCCCATTTACTGCATATAGTAATCTCTCTCTCTCTCTCTCGCCCTCACTTTCTCTCTTTATCTTGCTATACAGGGTTATATTAGGAAATACTCATATGTATGAGTACCCTAATGTCACCCATATACATAGAATGGGTGGGCACTACTAACCAAGCCAAGCCTAGTTCTCGCTGATAGGCGCTGGGAGCCTTACGGCTTCCAAGCCTTGCCGTATAAAGATATAAGTTGTGGCCATATATATATATATATATATATATAGGTTATATTAGGAAATACTCATATGTATGAGTACCCTAACATAACCCATATATATATAATATTTCATACTCAAGAGTGGAGTTTTTGAATTGCAGATGCTACATATTTTGTTGAGGTGGATCGGTTACTTCGACCAGGAGGCTACCTTGTTATATCTGGCCCCCCTGTACAATGGGCCAAACAAGAAAAGGAATGGTCTGATCTGCAATCTGTGGCTCAGGTTTTGTGCTACGAGCTGATTGTTGTGGACGGGAATACTGTAATTTGGAAGAAGCCTTCGACTGATTTGTGCGTGCCTAACCAAAATGAATTTGGGCTTGATCTCTGTAGTGAATCTGATGACCCAAGTTATGCATGGTATGTGCTCTGATTTGTATCAGCATCAAGTGTTTTGTTTTGATTTGTCATTCTTACTGATCCAGGCTGCCTTGGGCCAATAAACTTAACAATATGAGAATGTCCCAAATAAAAATTGGGGTTGTTTAATTTTTTTTATTTTATGTTTCTTTTAATTTTAGAAATAGGAATATCGCTAAGATAAGTTAGAAGGGATGATTTTGGTGCGTGAGTTGTTAGGTGGGAGGATTGGTGTGTGATTGTCAAGTGCGAGGATTTTGGGGAATAGATTAGGAACTAATCTTTAGGGACGGATATGGGAGGGGATAGAGATTCCCGTGAGAGGAAATAGGGAGATAGACATGAGAGAGAAAATAGGGAGATAAGCTTGAGAAGATAGATTGGAATTGAGTAAAGGGTTGATGAAAAGGTCATTTTTGGGTGGACTCCCAGAGAAGGTATATTCTTTCAAACTTTTATTTTATGTTTCTTTTTTGATTTGTTATTATTTCTCCCTACATCAGTTGGCATTAGAGCCTTGAGATCAAAGATCCATTCACTATATGGAGCGTTTGGATCAATTTGAGCAATTGGATCAACAATTCGCTAGACACACGGAAGACCTTCGCACATCAATACAATAATATCTACAAGATTGACTCAGTATATTGCAACAAGAGGAAGAAGAATATGAAGAGGTAGATCTCGATGCAAAAGACAATGTTGATAGCCCACCCGTGCACGAAATTTAAAAAAGCAATTGTGAAGAAAATGATATGTATATTACGACTTATGAAATACCACCTTGTGAGCCTGAAGGGGAAATCAATATTCAGTTTGATATTCCGGAGTTCGGTGTCTCAAACTTCCACTACAAATCATGTTGGATAGATTGTTTATTTATTGAAGAAAAAGTACTAAAGTGCACGGGGGGACTGCATTGCCAACTTTTGAGAAGGCCTCTAAAATGTATAAGTTCTATAAGATCGAGGTCGAGCATCTCCCAACCAGGTGAGAATGATGGAAATAAAAATTGGAGTTGTTTAGTTTTTTATTTTGTATTTCTTTTACTTTCAGGAATAGAAAGAGCACTGGGATAAGTTAGGAGGGAGGATTTTAGTGCGTAAGTTGTTAAGTGGGAGGATTTTGGATAATAGATTAGGAACTAATATTTAGGGAAGGATTTCGGAGGGGATAGAGATTCCCGTGAGAGGAAATAGGGAGATGGATGTGAGAGAGGAAATAGAGAGGTAGGCGTAAGAAGAGATATTGAAATTGAGTAAAGACTAAAGAGTTGATCTTGTGAAAAGATCTTTTTGAGATGGACTCCCTTGTAGACCTAGAGAGGGTATATTCTATCAAACTTCTATTTTTATTTTTATTTTTTAGTTTGTTATTATTTCTCCCTATATCAGAGAAGAAAAGGGCCAATATATCCATGATTATTCATAAAAATATCTCATTTGGAATTCTCCAATATTTTTTGCCTGATATTCGAGACCCACAAAGAAATTCCATTAACTTCTTTGTACGATGGCGGCTGATGGCCAAATTCAGAGGTGCTCTTGACTTATGATTGCTAGTGTGGTAGTATCATTGATATATTTAATAATATAGCTAATGTGGTAGTATCATTGATATATTTAATAATATAACATTATTTTCCCCAAAAATAGTTATCAAAATGTATCATAATTGTCTAACTACTAATTCTTGATTTCAGAATTACCCCTCCCTCCTCTATGAGTGCATTTAGTGTGTGCACATGCACCACTCAAGTGCAGTTCTTTCTGTGGAACCCATTCAAAAGTCCAGATCTACCACAAATAAGTCAACCATTAGTCTAATGTCCAGATAAAGTCCTTTGTCCAGATGTCATAGTTACAGTTAACAATAGGAAAAAAGAAACTGAAAAAAGGATTCTGTAGTGGATATTGTGATTGTTATGAACCAATATTTGGGTCCTTGATTGTTTGTTTGGCCTATATCCTGTAGAAATGGTTGCATAAACTGGAGTTCTGAAATGTAGTATTTGGAAAATTGCAAGGCATTACCATATGATTTTGTAATGATGGTTTAATTCAACATTTTTCACTTTGATGACAGTTATACGAGGAATTGATATACTATTTTCAATATTAAAGTTAATTTTTATTCCTAGGATTAATTTTCTACAGCAATAGGTTGTTTTTTGGTGTTCGGCCATGAATGATTACGTTGTATTACTATCTACCTCCCATGGGAAGATAGGAGGACCCTCCTAGTTCAATTGGTTATAAAAAAATAAGTGTGATGTACTTTTTTATTGGAGTTATCCTTGGGAGTTGAGATGGTAGTTGTGTGAAGCTGGCATTTGTGCTATCAGTTTGTGTTTTATTCTTTTTATTTTAACTTTTGGGTATGTATAATGTGCTCCAGCCAGTATATAATGAACACTAAATACCTTTGGTAAGAGACCTACTTAAGAGTACTTTCTTGATCTAAAATTTTGGTCGCCATTATGAGTATTTGTTTTTTTTTTTAAAAAATGGATTTAGAGTTTCTAAACTCTTAGATTTGACAATCCAAAAATTAGATGGTCTTGAGTTGATCTTAAGACATTATTTCTTTTACACTTACAAAATGCTTGTGATTTTTTTCTTCTTTTGGAATTTTTTGAGGTTCTTCATGAGGTTGAGGAGCTCCATCATTGAAATTTGGGGTTAAAGTATTCCTCGATAGGTTTTACCTGAGTGAGCACATACCCCAGGAACGTATAAATCTTTCCGCTTTTCTTCCTTTAAGGATAATAATAGTTTCAAATTTGATTTCCATTCTTGTGGTTCTCTAACATGTTTTAAAATTTAGTAGTTTAGTGTAGGGTTTTCATTGTAAACCCATATTTGTGCTAATTTTAATAAGTAATATTTTTTCCATATCTTACAGGTACACAGAGTTAAAGACTTGTATCAGCAGGATATCATCTTTAAAAGGAGAAAACTCAGTGGGGTCCCTCCCAAACTGGCCAGAGAGGCTAAGCAAGGCCACTCCAAGAGTTTCTTTTATGAAGAATGGTGCAGATATATATGATGCTGACACAAGGCGTTGGGTTAGGAGAGTCGCATACTATAAGACTAATTTGAACATTAAGCTTGGGACCCCATCAATTCGAAATGTCATGGATATGAATGCATTCTTTGGAGGCTTTGCAGGAGCCATTGTCTCGGATCCTGTTTGGGTTATGAATGTTGTTCCTGCTCGGATGCCTTCCACTCTGGGTGTGATCTATGATAGGGGCCTCATTGGACTCTACCATGACTGGTATGTGTGCTCTAATCCCATATATTTTCTTGAAGGTATTGAGTCTTTGAGTGTAAATAATTCTAAGTGACATCTGTCTCTCTTTTTTCTTTATAGAAAAAATCTTGCAAAAATATTACAACAATCTTAATGTAGTACCGTCCTTTCCCCAGTATCACATGAACTTTTCCCTTATCTTTTTTTTTGAAGCTAAAAAAAGGAAAAAGAAAAAAAACCATGTGTAAAAAGAATATATATGTTATTAACTCAAACAGTAAGTTTTCAAAATATAAGTTCGAAGAAACAAAAATAAATACACATACATACACATGCAGTAGTTAATTTTCCCCAAGGAATTCTGAAGAATGAATTTGCCGCTTTGGTCTGAAGGATTATTGTTTTTGTGATGAAATATTTGTTTATTTTTTTGTTGCTTATTGAGTTATTGACTGTATGGGTGTTACAGGTGTGAACCTTTCTCGACCTATCCTCGAACTTACGATCTTCTTCATGTGGTGGCCATTGATTCTTTGATAAGAGATCAGAATTCAGGAAACAGCAGGTATGGGTTATTTGGATATCTTTTCTTGTCCTGACTGATTTGTGAACCAGGGTTTTTCCATTTTTAATTCATGGATTGCTTCGATTTCCAGAATTTCTTTTTTGAAAGTAATTTCCTTGTGTATGCCATTCTATGAAAATTGTTGTAATAATGACTCATAAATTGGGCATGAAATGCACTGGTGTCTTCATCATATTAGTCAAAATGTAAAGGATGCAATACCCTTCTCCAAAAAATCATGTAGCTGTTATCGTGGATTTCTGACTCTTTCCATGTAATGGATTTACATGCCCACGTATCCATGGATTCTCTCTCTCTCTAAATATTAGTATAGTTTCTCCCCTTCCTCTTCTTAGTGGTATATCAAGAATGAATCCACCTTTGGCTCTTCTATCACTTATGGCGTCATACTAATTTTGTGCTGGCATTATCAATATTTATACTGCAGGGTTTAAGTTTGTCTTGGACATACCTATTGTAGTAAAGTCCACACTAAGATTTTGGATCCAAAATTCTACCGATCTATTGCACAGACCATCGTGATCACGAGTCTTAGTAAGATGAAATTTTGAGCTTTAAAAATGTCCCATCTTGTACTTGTTTTTTTCGTGGATTTAGTTCAATTCTTCAATGATTATCTGATCTGCACTGTTTTTGAAGATCCATATTCATGGATCTGAAGCAGAAATGGAATTTTTTTTGGGTTGTGTTTTGAGTACTAATACCCTAAAAATCAGGGCTGATGCGTCTGTGTCCCAGTCATCTTTTCTTCCTATGGTTGTCTTTAAATTTCTTTAGTGAAATCATGAATCAGCTGTTCTACAGAGTGGGTATTATAATATAAGATCTCTGACATCTCTCTCTCTCTCTCTCTCTCATTACAGGTGTAACCTTGTTGATCTCATGGTAGAAATGGATCGGATACTGCGGCCGGAAGGTACGGTTATTGTTCGAGACTCTCCCGAGGTCATAGAAAGGGTTGCACGTGTAGCACGTGCTGTGCGATGGAGTGCGACCATTCACAAGACTGAGCAAGAATCGAGTGGGAAAGAGAAGCTTCTCGTTGCAACAAAGAAGCTTTTGAAGTTGCCTTTGGCCTCCCATTGATTCTTCTCCTTTTTGACTCCTGACTCGTGTATTTGGTTTTTTCTTTCCTTTTTTTTTTTCTTCCTTTTCTTTTCTTTTTTTGAGCTTATTGTAATGGATGGAATTTGAAGCTTTTTATTCATGTATTTTGTGTAAGAAAAACGGTTTCCAAAGGATGCCACAAGTGTCATATATTGCAGAGTTGAAATTATCTACATTCTGTTTGCTGTCTAATTGTTGCTGTAGAGAGAGAGAGAGAGAAAGAGAGAGAGAGAGAGGATCCCAACCACAATTACCAGTAGAGAGAGCGAGATGGTTTAATAACAAGCATCAGTTGATTGAAATTTCTTATTGTACTTTTGTCCTTATGGCTATTTCATCATCAAAAGCTCAAACCAGAGCTTTAATGGCAGATGCTAAGAAGAAGCAAAGGAGAGATCTAAGCTTCTAATTAATTCCTCTATCGACCTGGTTATCGTTCCCAATTCCATAGAAACTCAAGCCATGGCCGATCATTTTAAGAATCTCAAGCCATGGCCGCCCCATGCTGCGATGCTCACTGATCTCAAACTCCGAAGCTGCCGTGTTTATGAAGCTGGAAATATACAAGTAGAACCTAGTCTTTCTGCTAAGGATTTCAAGCCCTAGAAAGGTGAACTCTACGTTCTATTAGAGCTCATTTATGAAAGACCTGTATTTGGGCTCCAATTTTTCTATATCCGTAATCCTGTTATTACTCCCATTTTGTGTCCCTAAGATAGAGAGATCCACTTGCAACTGTACTACAATCATAAGGGTTATAGTCTGGTTCTTAGTCAATCAAAATTTTAATAAGCAAAGAAAAGAAAATGAGAGTAATAATTTTATTATCGTTAAAGTTTTTTTTCAATTAATTGGGCTCGGTTATACGAATATTAGTCTGTCATTCTGTTTTATTAAGGGTCATACTTTCAGTGAGGGTATATGTTCATATATATACTTTCTAACTAGTTCCAACCATCATCTTTTGGGCCAACCTTTCGTTCTTTTTTAGCCTTCTACTTGAACTAACTCATACCTCTTAACAGGTGTCATACTGGGCCTGCACCATACATGGCCAGCCCACCTGAGGTTGCTGTCTATTTTCTCTCATCTTATCTCCAATTGGTGACACACTTAAATTTTTTGAAATATATTCATTTCAAATTCTATACTCTTTAGAATCTAAAGGTTTTAAAATTAGTCGGACTAAGACATAGCTTATGGAATGTAAGTTTAGTGATAATAGGAGTAGAGATGATGAAGTAGTTAGGATTGACAATAAAGAAATACTAAAAAGAATACACTTTCGACAAGGCAAAATTAAGCGAAAATTGGTTTAGACTAAGTTTTGACTGAACTTGGTTTTTGTATTAAGCTAAAGTAGCCAAGGTGCCAGTTTGTAGTCAGGCCAATCCAGTCAGGCTTCAACAATTACAACCTTTATTACAAAATAATCATAAAATCTCAACTATGCATTATTGATATTATGCAGTGATTTAAAAAACGTCGAGTCGAATTGAATTCGCCCGGTTCAACTCGGGAATCGGCACTGGATGTGCCGATTCGGGCAAATTATACGAATCGCCTAGTTCTAGTGAGAACCGGGCGATTCTGTACAGTGACTCGCCGATTCACTGTACGGAATCGGCGAGTCCCGTGAAGAACACGGGCTGCACAGTGTTCTTCATGGGATTCTTCAAAATTTTTCATTTTTTGATCATTTTTCATGTTTTTTTTTGCCATGTGATCTAATATGCAGGCTTTATACAGCTTTTTTCAGCCTTTTCATGGATTAAATGGTGGAGAAATTTCGTATTTTTGGATCATGAAAGTTGCGTTTTTTGGGTTTCCGCCTTTCCTTGTGTTTCATGCCAAATATGGCATGAATATGTGAAAATTTGTAAGCATTTTGATCGTAAAGTTGTTCATCAAAAAATTCTGTTACGAATTTGTAATAATCGTTGAGAAAAACAGAGTAATTTGGAGGTTGAAGACTCGGGTTCACGAAACCAGGTTAGAACTTTGGGTTTTTTTTTTTTTCCGCCATATGATCAATTTCACAGCATATTTTGAAAATAATGAGTTACATTTGTAGGGTTTTTAATCTTTATTGTGTCTTTTATCATTTAACATATTCAATTTTATTTAATTTGCTCAATTACAGCCTGATTTTTTAGATGAACACAGTGATGTCTGTAAAACAAAAATTCTGCTGTTTTTTTTTTTTCCATCTTTTGATTTTTTGTTCACGATATATTTACAAATAATGTGTTAGATTTCTAGGGTTTTTAATCGTTATAGTCTTGTTTATAATCAGATGTATTTAATTTGATCTGATTTATTCAATTTGAGCTTCATTTTTTAGATTCAATGACTGTTCTCTGTGAAGAACTGCGTTTTTTTTTTTTTGCTCAATTTAATCGATTTGATTTGATTTATTGATGATAATGTGTTCATAATTTAGGGTTTTGATTCCTTATATTGTTGTTTATCAAATTTGTAATCCATGATCGAATTTTTTGTAATCCATGATCAAATCCATGATCGAATTTTTTGTAATCCATGATCGAATTTTTTGTAATCCATGATCGAATTTTTGTAATCCATGATTGAAATTTTTGCAATCCATGATCGAATTTTTTGTAATCCATGATCGAATTTTTTGTAATCCATGATCGAATTTTTCGTAATCCATAATCGAATTTTTTGTAATCCATAATCCATGATCGAATTTTTTGTAATCCATATTCGAATTTTTTGTAATCCATAATCGAATTTTACGTTCCAATGGTTGCACACTACTAGGAGAAATTGACTTGCTTCGGAAAAACTTCATAAACTAGTCTACGTTCATTACAACTTAAATCTCTAAGAGCGACAAATAAGAAGGAAGCTTGAAGACTATGGGCCGATAGACTTAGACACAATATTTGTCACAGACACAGTAGAGTAATGGGCAGTAGAAGAGGAGGAGCCAGTGGTGCTTAAAAGAGCGTTCTTTGAGGCTATCGGTGAGGAAGATCTTAAAGAAGGTGATGCGCAGCATGAAAGAGGAAGCAGTCAGCCAACGTATCCACAAATCGTAGGAGATGTCGGTGATATTGCACCTAATGATGGAGAGTAGGAAGCGGGTCTAAGGGAAAATGAGAGAGATGATGATTTCGAGGCCACCCTATCCCAGCCATATTATTCACATATCGAGTCCCAATAGCAATAGGGTACGGATGAGTAGGATAGTGTAGGCGAGCATGAAGGATGGACAAGCTTCGGGGATTTTAGATTGGGCACACAACAGAACAATAACACTCAGGGATTTGGATATAGTCAGATGCCTGCTAATATCGATGATTCGTTTTTAGATCGAATCAATGAATTGTCAAACGAATTCAATCAATGGCACCAGCGTGATCAAGAAGAAGAACATCGTCGTCTGTTATTTTATTTTTAAATCATATGTTACTAATTGTACGCTTTATTGTCGTCTATGTATGTTGATATACTTATTCCATGATAATTCTATGTTTATCCTTTTGTGTGACGTAAATTAAATGGTAAATAATAGTTCTTGCAGGGAAATAACATATAAATATTCGCATATTTGTGCAAAGAAATGAAAATTCTTAATGGAGTACCCTCATTTTTTATTGAATTCCTAAAAAAAATATTTATAATGGATTTTAATAATTTTTTCAGATTTTTTTGAAGCGTTAATCTGACCGATTCACCTGATTCCAGATTCGGATCATAGATTCGCCGATCCAAATCGATTTTTGAGGTACCCGATCCGGGTCACCAATCTGCTTTTTTAACCATTGGTACTATGCATGGGTGATTATACAATGTTGAATTTATTTATGGGAAAGGTTTCTATACTTCTCATACAGTATAGAAGATATATACTTTGCCTGAATCCAACCGTCCAATTTAGATCAAGTGAGCCACTGACTATTTAATCTAGATCCGAGGCCTCTGAGTATTTTATTTTTAGTTTTTCCTATAAATTGTATGAAAATTAAATTTGATACGTGTCATATTCTCAATGGGTTGCACATAAAAAAAAAAGATAAAAATAATTTTTCAATAAAATATAATGACCAAAATACCCCTTGAAAATTTTAGGGGTAATTTGGTTATTTTATTTTATTGGAAATATTTTTTATATAATTTTTACAAATGCGAGTTTAAAAGAGGAGACGGTCAAAATAATTTATAAAAAAAAAATTAAAATAAAATAGTGTAAAGATGTGGTATTGTGGGGGCATGGAAGCCGCTATAGGGGAAGCAAAACAAGGTTAAAATGTATTAGCATGGCATATAACATGAGAGCAGTACCCGTGGCCTAATGGATAAGGCGTCTGACTTCTAATCAGGCGATTGTGGGTTCGAGTCCCACCGGGTATGATTCTTTGATTTTCAGGTTTTCTAACGCTTTTTCTAAATAATACTTATTTTTATTGGTTTTGCACCTCCTTTTCTCAATAATACTTTTTATATTCGTTTTTCTCTAATCAGGCGATTGTGGGTTCGAATCCCACCGGGTATGATTCTTTTTTGAGGTTTTTTAGGTTTTGTAACTCTTTTTCTCAATAATACTTTTTTTTAATGGTTTTGCACCTCTTTTTCTCAATAATACTTTTTATATTCGTTTTGCACTTCTTTTTCTAAATAAATATTGTAATACTTTTTCTATACTTTTTGTACCTCTTTTTCACAAGGGAGAGGTAAGTTTGCCTCCTTATACTAGAATCTCAATAATATTTTTTTTAATTTGTTTTGTACCTTTTTTTCTCAAGGGAGAGGTAAGTTTGTCTCCTTATACTATAGAAATAAGGGCACCTATAAAATTTACTTAGCTATGTCATTTCCATGCCTCCAAAATCTTTTTTATCTTTCTTTTTCTCAATAATACTTTTTTTTTATTGGTTTTGCACCTCTTTTTCTCAATAATATTTTTTCTATTCGTTTTGCACTTCTTTTTCTCAATAAATATGGTAATACTTTTTCTGTACGTTTTGAACCTCTTTTTCTCAAGGGAGAGGTAAGTTTGCCTCCTTGTAATATCAAATTTACTTAACTATGTCATTTCCATGTCTCCAAAATCTTTTTTATCTTCAATTATTAAATTTTAAATTTTTGAAATTGAAAAGATCGAGCAAATCAAGAGACACTTAAAAAATGTTGTTATATCTCTTTT